AACAAAAACCAATACCATTACGACTTGAATTTAAAATCTTCTTTGAACTATAATTATTCATGGGCTGCCTGGGTGGCTCAGTTGGTTAAGCGTCTGACTTTGGCTCAGGTCACGATCTCATAATTTGTGAGTTCAAGCCCTGAATCCGGCTTTCTGCTGTCAGCACAGAACCTGCTTTGGATCCTGTCTCCCTCTCTCTCTGCCCCTCCCTGACTTGTTTTTGCTCTCTTTCTCTCAAAAATAAACATTATATATGTGTGTGTATATATACAATTATATGTATATAATTAGGTGTGTGTGTGTGTGTGTGTGTGTGTGTATAATTCATATCTTGAATAGCCAAAGCAATCTTGAGAAAAAAGAACCTGTATAGAAAAAAAAAACTATATTACAAAGCTGTTAGTAATCAAAACAGTATGTTATTGGCATAAAAACAGACAGTTTTTTTGGAACAGATAGCCAATGGAACAGATAGCCTGGAAGTAAACCCACACACATATATGTTTAATTTATGACAAAAGAGCCAAGAATATGCCAAGGGGAAAGGACAGTCTCTTTAATAAATGGTGATGGGAAACTGCACAGCCACATGCAAAAGCATGAAACTGGACCACTGTCTTTCAACATACACAAAAATTAACTCAAAATGGACTGAAGACTTGAACTTAAGATTTAAAACCATAAATCTCCTGGAAGAAAATGTAGGTGGGAAGGTCTTCAACATAGGTCTTGTCAATGATTTTTAAAAATCTGACACCAAAAGCAAAAGCAACAAAAATAAACTACATCAGACTACATCAGACAAAAGCTTCTTACAGCAAAGGAAGGAAACCATCAGCAAAGTGAAATGCATCCTACTGAATGGGAGAAAGTACTTATAAGTGATATATCTGATAAGAGGTTAATGTCCGAAATATATAAGGAATTCCTATAACTCAGTAGCAAAAACAACAAAAAACCCCAAAAATGGACAGATAATCTAAATAGGCATTTTTCCAAAGAAGACAGATGGATGGCCCACAAGTACGTAAAAGATGCTCAACATCATTAATCATCAGGGAAATGCAAAGCAAAACCACAGTGAGGTATTACCTCACACCTGTTAAAATAGCTATTATCAAAAAGACAAGAAATAATAAATTGTTGGTGCGGATGTAGAGAAAAAGGAACCGTGTACACTGTTGGTGGAAATGTAAATTGGTGCAGCCACTAGGGAAAACAGTATGGAGGTTTCTAAAAACATTAAAATAGAACTACTGTATGTCCTAATAATTTCACTTCTGGTATTTATCTGAAGAAAGTCAAAACATTAACTCAGAAAGATGTATGCACCCTCCCCCCCCCCATGTTCATAGCAGCGTTATTTATAATAGCCAAGATATGGAAATAACCTAAGTGTCCATTGATGGATGAATAAAGAAAACATGGTGTATATATGTATATACATATATACATATATACAATGGAATGCCATAAATTGTTCAGCCATGGATAAGAAGGAAATCTTGCCATTTGCAACAACATTCATGGGCCTCGAGGTCATTATCTAACAAATAAGTTAGAGAGGGGAAGACAAATGTATATGATCTCACTTCTATGTGGAATCTAAACAAACAAAACCCCAAAATCTCATTTAAAAAAAGAAGCTCATAGATACAGAGAACAGATAGGGGTTGCTGGAAGTAGGATTTTGGGGGGTGGGGGGAGTAAATCAGGTCAAAAGCTGCACACTTAGCTCTTAAAACATAAATAGGTCAAGGGAATACAGCATGGTGACCATAGTTAATAATACTTTATTGTATATCTGGAAGATATCTTAAGAATTCTCATCACATTGTTTTGTAAGTATGTATAGTGATGGATGTTAACTGGGCTTATTATGATTATTTCACAGTGTACCCAAATATCAAATCATTGTGTTGTATACCTGAAATTGTTTTAATGCCATAACCTAATGTTATGTGTCTATTATACTTCATTATAAAATAACTATTCATAACCTTGTAAAGTTTATAATATAAATATTTTACAACAGAATTAAAAGTCTCAAGAGATCTTATTAAATAATTAGTTGATAACACTCAGTTATTTTCTGAAAACTTAGAAAATACCTTTTACTGTCGTACTAATTTTAGCCCAAACATCTCTTCACAGTTATGAAAGAGATTGTGTTATTTTAGGAACAGGCCCTTGTGGTGTCTAAATTATATTCAATAAGTGTCTAACCATTAGATTTACTACTGGATCTTCCTGTCATCTAAGGCTGTTTTAATTAGACCATGACTTCAATTGAAAGTCTTCCAAAGTGGTGGGGGAAGGGGAGGAAGAGGAGAAGGAGAGGGAGGAGTGAGGAAGGAAGAGCTGTCAACCACATGAGTGAGGTTGAGGTACTGGGAAAGCAGGTCATGGGGAGAAGGGGGAGGGGCCCTCTTTGCATGTTGAGAGCCAGCGGGCGTTGATATTCTGCCTTTCCTTTGAGCAGTGCTCTTTTCAGCCGCTTTGGTGGCAGCAGTTGTGGATGACATAGTGGCTGGCTAGCAGAGTGTGGGAGTAGCTGCTCTTGTCACTGCTGGGTTGGTATTGCTGTTTGCACTGCCTCCAGAGGGCCACTCCTAGCCTTTGTCTGCAGTGAGCCTGTAGGATGGGTTTCATCCTTGGCTCTCTGCAAGAAAGAACTATTTTTTCAAGGTTTTCTAGATCTTCTGACTTGTCTTTGTTTAGATCGACACTTAGGTACTCAGGATTCTTTCCCAGTGTTTCAACTCACTGCAACAAATCCATCACCCTACCCTCCTTCTAGCATCTAAAGGACTAGGCATCACCCAAAGGTTTGACTTTCATTTCCTTTGACTCTGTCTTTCTTGAGGCAAAGGTCATAAGCTTTGGTCTTTGGGCCAAAGTGTGTTTTACCACATTTATAAAATGAAAGGCTTTTTTTCAATGTACAAACATTGAAAAATTAGAAATTTTACATTAACACTTGGATTTTTGGCTTTTCTTGGAAAATCAAAAGATGTGGCAACACTGGAGCAGAATTGCAATTGCAGCTAGAGCTGAGTAGTGGCTGTACCATTTAGCCTGGTACCTCTTCTGCTTACCAAGTCCCCACCCAGCCTGGCATTTGAGTTTGTAATCCTTGGAGTACTACATGCATTAAAAATGAGTCATAAGAATGGTTTTATAGTTTTTAAGGGAAGTATTCTATCAAACTCTTAATAATTGTCTCTTAAATAACAGATATAAAACTTACTCCAAATACAGGATGTAGGTAGATTAAATTATTAGTATCCTTCTGTAATTAGTTCTCACTAATAGAAACTTAGTAATTCCCTTAGTTAGAGCCAAAGAATGCACATACCCTATGCACAAATTAAAGATGAGTAGAAGGTACAAGTCTATACTCATGGATTTCGGAAAAAGTGTGTGTTTGGAAAAAAGCTTGTAAGTTAAAAAAAAAAAAAAAAGTAAGGAGCCTGCATTATTGGTTCAAGTAAATTCAGTATGTAAAAATACTCCTGGAAAATGAGCAGCGCCAAACAAGAAGCTATTTTTCCTTTGAAATTTTACTTTAAGAAAAAGAAGAAAATTATAACAAGGCTATTTAAAAATGTTACATAATAAAGACTCATGTTCACCCTGGTAACTGAAGGGCCCGTAAGCATTTTTATCTTATTCTATATTTAAATTAAAAAAACCCTTTTGTGGGGCTATTTTTTATTAACATGATTGACATACAGTGTTCTATTAGTTTCAGGTGTACAATATGATTGAACAACTCTATACGTTAATGCTCGTCGTGATAAGTATACTCTTAATCCCCTTTATCAATTTCACCCATCTTCCCACTCACCCCCTCTGCAGTCACTAGTTTATTCTCTTTATTTAAGAGTCTGTTTTTTGGTTTGTCTCTTTTTTTATTCTTTCATTTGTTTTGTTTCTTAAATTTTACATATGAGTGAAATCGTTCAATCCCAGATATGAGTGAAATCATGTGATATTTGTCTTTCTCCATATGACTTGTTTCACTTAGCATTATATGCTCTGCATTCCGTCCATGTTGTTGCAAATGGCAAGATCCTATTCTCTTTTGTGACTTAGTAATACTCCATTGTATATATATACAACATCTTCTTTATGCATTCATCTATCACCAAACACTTGGATTGCTTCCATACTTTGGCTATTGTAAATAATGCTGCAGTAAACCTAGCAGTGCATGTATCTTTTTGAATTAATATTTTCATTTTCTTTGGGTAAATACCCAGTAGTGGAATTACTGGATCATATGGTAATTCTATTTTTGAGGAACCTCCATACTGCTTAGTCACTCTAATTAAACTTGAATTTGAAGGGGTTTTGTTTGTTTGTGGGTTGTTTTGTTTTGTTTTTTGGCAGATGATCAATATTAGGAATAAAGTTAGTCATCTTCTTGAATACCATACTCACATGCTCAGACTGGCCTCCTTCTGTCCCCATGCTAGGAGGTTTTGTCTAAGGATACTCCTTAGTTTGTTCACATTCCAGATTCTACTCTGAGCCACCACATCTGTATCATCTCCCATCAAGGACTTTTCTTGGTCTCTTCTTCAACAAGGAAAGGGAGGAAGAGGAAGTTGAAGAGTATATCTAACTTTTTAAAGCAAAATTCCAGGGGCGCCTAGGTGGCTCAGTTGGTTAAACATCTGACTTTGGCTCAGGTCATGATCTCACGGTTTGTGAGTTTGCATCCACATTGGAGGAGCTCGAGTCCTGCTTCGGGTGAGCCCCGTTTCTCTCTCTCTCTCAGACCCTTGTAGGATTCTCTCTCTGTCCTTTGCTCACTTGTGCCCCCCCCAAAAATAAATAAATAAACAAATTCCATTTAAATATTTTTTAGTATTGCTACAAAATGTAAATATACAGCACATTAACTTTTAAAATTTTCTTCTGTAAGATTTTATTATATCTATCATGTATTTATATTGAATTATATGCATGTAAATATCTCCTTTTATTTTTAGGGCTCTCCAAAAAAAGAGGAATCCTTTGCGTCTATGCTGAGACATTCTCCTCTTACACAGATGGGACCTGCCAAGGATAAACTAGTTATTGGACGAATCTTTCATATTGTGGAGAATGACCTTTATATTGATTTTGGTGGCAAGTTTCATTGTGTGTGTAGAAGACCAGAAGTGGATGGAGAGTAAGTAGAATCATTTCCAAGTTTTTTAATAATGTTCATAAAAGTTGAGATACCTCAAAAGTATGATTGGACTTTAGTCGGTGATTTTCTAAAAGACAGAAAATATGTTTTATTCCTCTTCATAATGCTAGTTAGGGAAGTTAGGCCAGATTTGTGTCATGTCGTATTAGTCACGTTAGGCTAGATTCATGTCTTCTCAAAGCAGTGAGAGCAGTTTGGGGGGAGATTTGAATGTTCATCCTAGTAATAAACTATTCCCCACCATAAAATTAAAACCAGCTCTACAGTAATATATGCTGCTCAGGCGATTTTACACATAACCTTTTTTACTTCTTCTTCTGTTCCTTGGTCTTCTGCTTCTCAGAGAAGCCTCCCATTCTACTTCTTCATGCTCCTTTCTCTCCCACTACCAAATTCCTATGCTTTATTATTTTCCTTTTCTATTCTGTATTTAATCTAAGAGTTAGAATTTTCCCTATTATAGAACAGAATTTACTTCTGTTTATAGTATATAGATAAAGATATTTGTGAGTATAAATATGCACTGGGGAAACCATTAAGGTGACAGATCTAGGAGTCGAGTGAAGGGAGATGGGTAACAAAGATTCTGAGATTGGAAAATGATAGTAAGCAAGATAGGAATGATTTTTTCCCATCAGTTTTTAATGTGCACATTTAAAAAATTTCAGTATTTCTGCCATCAGGATGCAACATATAGTTGATGTTCTATCAATGTAATTGACAGTGTTCTTTATTCTTAATAGTAAAGTAATGGTGAGTCTAGTTCTCAGTGGCATCTTAGGATGAATTACAGTGATTAAAAAGTTTCTGATGTTTAAGGATGAGTCATATTGTAGAAATGAATAGGGAGAGAGTCTACTCTAGATCTAAGAGAGCAATTATGAGAATGGGTTGCCTCTCTCCTGAGAGCCCTGCATACCTAAAGATAATGTTAATAACTGGGTTCAAATGATTGGGAGACATGAACTCATTCTACCTGAGTCTGAATTGGACCTGACAAACTTAATAGACTACAAATTTCCTCAGATCAGTGGCCTTTGAGTAAATATTTAACAACTAGCTCTCCAATTAAAAAAAGGCCCTGATTTATCAATTTCTATTGTGTAAAACACTCCCATCGTGGCCAGTTTTCAGTTACCAATGTAATGGCACTGAATGCAGAATTGGGAATATTTGCACAGTGTCCAGTACACCTCTACCTCAGATAATCAAAAGCTAAGCAGTGTCTTGCAAGGTAAGTGCTGCAAACCGGGTGATCCTAGAGGAGAAAATGGGCTTCTTATGCTACCTAGCATGGAGAGGTCATGGCTCAAGCATAGCCTGTCTTGGTATATCAAATAACGTAAAGCTTAGTCAAAAGTAGTAAGACCTCAAGAAATTTCTAAGTAGGGTAGGTTCGTCAATCCAGATACTAATACTGTATCTCTGTTGTGTAATGGGTCATTGAAGGGATCAAATCAGATAATGTATGGAAAGATTTAGAACAGTGACTGGTATATAATAAACAGATGCTACTAATACTTCTGTTCTTAAAATCCTGGTAATTTGGTTTTTTGTGAACTGATGATGACATTCCTCAAGAATTCCTATTGATGAGGGTTCATGCAAGAGGCAAGTGTGGAGATATGCAGTCCTAAAGTTATCCTTCAAGAGAGGCATCCTGACCTTTTGGGTATGTCAGCAGTAGCTCTGGCAGATCAATTTTCATTAATAGAAAATATATCAGTAATTTAAAGATGAAATACTGTATTATTTTATACAAAGAAATTTTCTCATTTCCTCCCTACAATTGATAAGCTTTCATCATGCTACCATGGGTGCTACCCAGTCGCAGTGGCCATCTTTATTCTTACAAGCTGACCTAACTCGCAGCCAGAACATCAGGTATTAACTTTATAACAAATGCATTTTACAGGCAATTCTGCTGAATTATGAATATTTCACCTGCTTAGTCAGATGTATTACAAGTTGTAAATGCAGTGTACACTTTCTTTATGTGTGTGGATGGAATTTTGTTTATGGTACTTCTTTCATGGGTGATATTCGTGGATATTCTTTTATGGATATTGTCCTTTTTCCATTAATATTTTAACACATCAGTTTTGTCATTATGTTCTGTTTTTGAGCATATTTCAGAATGCCTTAGAGACTAGAAGTTCTGATTTGATTCTTTAGTCAGCCTTACTGACTAAATCACAGAATTTTAAGTATCAGTATTTGTGACTAGATAGTTCTCTAATAAGTGCTATAATATGGCTTGGCTATTTTATATACAGTGTAGATTATAATGGTTAAATACTAGCATTTGTTGCAAATTTATTAAATCTTAATTTTTCATCAAAAAACTATACACGTACACATATTCTATTACAGAAATTACTGTGTTTGAAACCCTCATCTCCACATATACTCCTGCCATGAAGCAGTCTATTTAACAAAAGTGTTTTGGAGTGTGAGAGATGGCTTATAATTTTGCAAGTAAATTGTCTAGTCTATGAGCAGTCACCATATTAGAGTCTTGTTTCATATACTTAGCGGAGTTAAATGCCTGCATCTCTGTTTTGTAGTTATCGACAGTCATTATCTTTCACCTCCTGCCTCCATCTGCCTACCCAGGATCCATTCACCAGACATTCCCACTTTAACTTCTTAATCAGTCACAAAATCGATACATTCATGATTGAGGATCATGAAAAGGGGACAGTCATACCAGTGCAGGAGGAGTTGATTTATTTGTTCATTCATTCATTCATTCATTCATTCATTCATTCATTCAGCAGATGCTTCCTGGGCCTCTTCAGTTTGGCAGGTCCTGTTCTAAGGGCTGGGAAACTAGAGAGACTGGCTCCCTGTCTGCCCTTATGAAGTTGGGCAACTTCTACTGGAGACAAGGGGAGTAGATAGTAAATAACTCTACAAATCAATTTTAAAAGTTGGGGATAATATGGTGAAAAAATGTTTGGCAAGTAGAAGATAACAGTAGATAGGAAAGGAGGTCTGACTTCTATTCTTTTATTGCTTAAAGTCTGAAAATACCCTCTGAGGACTTTTTTTTTTCTTTTGATGATAAACAAGAGTCAAGTCTTAGGTTCTATTCCTCTCTGGTCCTACAGACTGATACATGTTATTTCTAACAGTGTGCTAAAAGGAGCAGTTCACTTTAGCCAAGATTTGATCTGAATAGTTTGGTTACTTTTGTGCCATATCCTCATGGCTATGCTGGTAACTGTAGCTCCATATCCATGTAGATTTTGGTGGGGTGGGGCGGGGGGGGGGGGGGGTGGAGAGGAACTTTCTATCTTAGCAAATTCCTTGGTGTCCAGGTCTTCTAAAAATGTTTTTAGCGGCACCTGGGTGGCTCAATTGGTTAAGCGTCCGACTTCGGCTCAGGTCATGATCTCACGGTTCTTGGGTTCAAGCCCTGCATCAGGTTCTGTGCTGGCAGCTCAGAGCCTGGAGCCTGTTTCAGATTCTGTGTCTCCCTCTCTCTCTGCCCCTCCCCCGCTCATGTTCTATCTCAAAAATAAATAAATATAAAATTAAATTAAAAAATGTTTTTCATGGGGCGCCTGGGTGGCTTAGTCGGTTGAGCGTCCGACTTTCGCTTAGGTCATGATCTCGCGGTTCGTGGGTTCGAGCCCCGCGTCGGGCTCTGTGCTGACTGCCAGCTCAGAGCCTGGAGCCTGTTTCAGTCTGTGACTCCTTCTCTCTCTGACCCTCCCCTGTTCACGCTGTCTCTCTCTCCTAGAAATAAATAAAACATTTAAAAAAAAAAGGATAAATTTCAAAAAAAAATGTTTTTCATGTTTATTTATTTTTGAGAGAGAGAGAGACAGAGCCCAGTGGGGGAGGGGCAGAGAGAGAGAGGGAGACACTGAATCCAAAGCAGGCTCCAGACTCCAGGCCAGTATTATAAGTAAAATCAGAGAGTTTGAAGGTGTGGATGGGGTCTATTTCTAAACTTAGAAGTTTTAAACATTAAATTGTTTTTCTCTCATGTCAAATTATGACTTGAAATCAGAAATCAGATTATGATAAATTAGAATGACTCAGGCATTAACTTCTTTGGCAGTTATCATTGAATCAACCGATTGCTAAATTATCAGCATTCTCTTCTATAAAACCCACTGACTGATACCAACATTAACTAGAAAAGAAATGTGTGATCCTCCACTATATTGGCACTTTCACTACTTCCAGTTCTGCTATATCTTTAGCTAAATAAAGCTAGTTGTGTTTGTTCCAAAATCTGTTTACATTATTGTTAAGTAATTTTTTAAATTATTGCATAAATTAATAAAAGATGACTATGGAAAGGGTTTTTGTTCTTGAGAAAGCTAATTTTAATGTTTTGGAAAGACCCCATAAAGAGAGGTTTTTTGTTTTTTGGGTTTTTTTTTAATTTAAAGAAACTATTATTGAATTCATTTGGGCAAGTAAACCAAAAAGATTGGTGGGGTGAATCCTAAAAATCTGGAAGGAATTGCTTTCCAAATGTCTTTCTGTTCCTGGTTTACTTTACAGTGACTGATTCTGGCAATCCTAGACATTGCAGTGTGGGTGTTGTTGATGTAAGGAAATAAGTGCAGAGCTCCAGTGAGTGGACCTCTCCTCAACAAGAAGGCCTGGACTTTTACCAGATTATTTGCATTAATTGCTAAATTGAAGTCTTCACAGAGCATGTGTAGGCTTTCTTAATGGGTTCTCACTTTAACCTACTTTTCCATGAGCCAACCTATGAGTCCAAGGGCTTCTACTCTGACTTTTCCATCTTGTGAACCTGCCTGCCCTTTTCTGCAGACATTTTTTTTCTTCTGTCATTAACACAGTATACAATCTCACAAATTTTGTGCTAGTGTGAATTAAGATTGTTCCCTTTTCATTGTCCCATCTGATAGTCATAATAGCTAGTTTTTTGAAAACCTACATTGGCACTTTAGATGTATTGCCTGATTTATTCCTCATAAGAAGCATAGAAAGTAGAGGATATTATCCAAATGAAGAAGGGGAGTTTCCAAGCATAATGTGCTATGGTGATACAGCTGGTAATTCATAAGGCATAAGGCAGGGATTCAAACCTAGGGCTGTGTGTACCCAACAGACCCATGAATGTTCTTTTCACTCTCCTGTGCTGCTCTAAATCTCACAACATATAGTTACTAAGTATCATAAAAGCCTCCTGAAATGATCTCACATATGAGCCAGTTTTCATACCAGGGACCCTGAGGCCTATGGAGGTCTGTTAAAGAATGGTAAGTAGCCCGTTACAGTATCCTTGACCATGGTGTCCCATGAATAGTTGTTACCACTAATCAGCTAATGACCATTGGGTCCAGCCTCCTTTCAGAGTGGATGTGTAACATAATTGTGGTGAGACCTGTAGTCACCGGAGCTGGTTAATGTCTGACAGTGTTTCGTAACGTAGAGTCAGCAGGCCTCGTGTTATTTGGGAATGCTTTATTTCAAAAAAGTTTATTCTGCAAGTAGTAGAAAGTTAACTCTTTATACGTGTAATGCTCAATTTTTAATTCTTTGATTCTTTTTATAAAATATGTTATCTATTTCCACCTTGTCAGACCTAAAGTAGTTTAACCTGTTTTTATGGTTATTGTTTTTGATGAACCAGGGTCATAATTATAAACATTAATTTCTATGTTGTATCATAATTCAAATATTTAGAATTCTTGCTCCTTAGCCATACAACCCTTCAGTTCTGTAGGTTTTGTCTTTCACCTTTACATGTCATCATTCTTTTCTGCTGTTGTCCTGGGTCTGCATTTTTAGGTTGGTTTTTTTTTTTTTTTGAACTTTAAAAGTTTCTTGTCACCGAATTTGTTGTGCTTAAAATAAGAAGAACTAGTGTTTGAGTAATAACCTCTGAGCCTCTTCTGTAAGTAAAGTGTGTATGCACTTTAGTACACGGACTTCAGCACGTGTTTTGACAGCTCCTAAACTCCTCTGCTTAGTTCTCATTGAGTTCTGTGGAGACTTGATGTCACCAGATAACTAACTTCCTGATAAGTGGAGTGTAACTAGGTTGGGGTCTTGCCTGTGTTGACTCCCTGTTCACTGGTGCCTTTGATAGGGATTGTCACATATCAGGACAGTGTTTGTTGAACCAGGCAATGTGCTGAGTGTCTTGGACATGAGTTTTTTGTGGTTGAGACTTTAACACCTTCAGTAGGAACAGCAGTGAAAATAAAATGGGATTATTGGGACTCAAATGCTATTTGAGGTGGTAAGATGGTATCGGTTCTTACTGTGAATTTGTAAATACATGAGTAAATTCCTTAAGAACATTGTAAAACCCAGAGTATTGCTTTATAGCATTGGTTAGTTTGATTGGCTTGGAATGTACCTATAGTACATTTTATCAGTCTCAAGAATTAAGCCGCTGATTTTATTATTTTTTTAATAAAGTTTTTATTTTCATTCTAGTATAGTTAATGTCCAATAATGTATTCATTTCAAGTGTACAGTATAGTGATTCGGCAGTTCCAGTGCTCATCGTAACTGCACTCTTTGATCCCCATCCCCTGTTTCACCCATCCCCCCACTCCCCTCCCCTCTGGTAACCATTGGTTTGTTCCCTATAGTTAGAAGAGTCTGTTTCTTAGTCTCTCTCTCTCTTTTTTCCCCTTTGCTCATCTGTTTCTTAAATTCCACATATGAATAAAATCATATGGTGTTTGTCTTTCTCTAACTTTGTTTCTTAAATTTGATTCTTAAATTCCACGTATGAGTGAAATCATATGGTGTTTGCCCTTCTCTGACTAACTTATTTCACTTAGCATTATACTCTGTAGCTCCATCCATTTGGTGCAAATGGCAAGATTTCATTCTTTTTTGTGACTGAATAATATTCCATTATATAGAGAGATATA